AACCAACTCTCATTACAAAGGGGATTTTAAATGAATGTGTCTCTGTAGTTTAATCACTTACTGAAGTCAATATTACACTTATTTCAGGATTCGTTTTCTCTTTGCTTTGTTGTAAGTTGGAGAATTAAACAAGCCAGGATAATGTAATACAAGCTTAACAATGACTAAAGTTCTCATTTGTGTACCACCAAGAGTTTTAGGGGGCTGTGTGGGTGGGAAGCTTCTTCTCCTCTGAAGAGGAGGTTTTAGACATTAAGTTCATGGCAAGGACAAAATCTTTATGCACAAAAGGAAGTCCTCCTTGATAGCCTTGGAAAGCCAACAGCTTCATAGCATGCAGTAATATTTCTACCCCCCCAAAAGAAGCAGTGCAGAAGTCATAGCTAGGAAGTTACCAAGATAGCTTTGAACTATTTCCATGCCTTCCTTATCCTTGGTTCTTGGGTGCTGCTGCTAAGATGCAAACACCCTGGAGATTTAAGACTGTAGCAACCTGTTCTTTGCTCTTATGATTTGACATGCCCTGCGTGCTGTGACCTCAGCACAAATATATGACCTGTGTTATCACTTGTCAAAAAGGATCCCGAAAGTACAGTCTTAATGCCCTCTATCTAGTCCTAAGGCAATGGGATCCAGAGCAGATAAAAGTTACAATCCTTTTCCACCTCCTGTTGGAAAAGTGATCATAACAAAGTTGATGCCTACTGTAACAGTACCCTATTACCATACTCAGGTAACTACAACCATACCACCATGAGCCCTGACAGAATTTTTCATTTAAACTACTGAAGAAGCTCCCCTCATGGAAGAAGAACCCAAGAAGTAAAACCCAAGCACGGGACTGACGGACAACAGAAATTGTCCTTCACTGGTTAATAAGAACGAGCATTCCATGAAACACTTGCAAATTGTTTCTCAGCATCTTAGTTATAACTGATGAACAAATGCAGACCACCATTATCAACAGCATCAACTAAAAAACTATATTTAGCATTGCATACTGCATATCTGTAAACTGTTATAAAGTGGACCAAACAGTCAATTTCATGTGTTTATTTATTACTTGGAGAGTTGCAGGAAAACACCGATATTCACAACAGAAAGAAGGAATAGCCTTTGGGAAACTGCTCAATTGCTTGTGTGCTCCTTCACACTGAGGACCAATTCTCCATTACAGGTTAGGCAGTCTTCTTGTTCAGCCTTCACCACTGACAGTACCTGGCATGCACAGTGATCCCTGTGCACAGTCAGGACCACACCACTCTTCCAAGCACAGCACCCTCCCAGGCAGGGAAGAGCAGCAGCACAGCAAGACATCTTCCATGCCTCATGGTGGGATGAGATAGTAGTAGTCATCTTCCTCCCCAGAGTCCAAAAACCAAGCTATCACCTACTAAATCTGAGCTGCCACAAAGGAAGAGGGTAGCCAAAAAGCAAGCTGCCTAAGTTTTCATACACACATACGTAAGTGCAGCTGCCTTCTTTCTCAGGAGCAGGCAGGTACTCCACAGCACACACCCATGCTCCCAGGGGAGAGGCACATGCATGAAATCCAGGAACCCACTCACATATCAGACCCTCCCCAGTACACGCAGACCTCTCGTGCTGCTGCTCAGAAAGGCCGTGCTCCTCCTTCCTGAACAAGTTCTGTGCAATTCTGTCTAAACTGCTTTCACTCACTTCAGCAGCATGAGCAAATAAGTCCTCTTTCACAGAGGGCAAGAAATGAGGACGGGAGAGAATCCAAATGCTTTGGGGAAAGACAGGTGCTGAGCCTTTAAGAGGACAGAATTGAATCCCATTCTTAATAAATACGTATGTATGCTCTAGAAGAGACTAGGTTTTATTAAAAACCATACAACCTCTTCTTATTTCAGAATATGCCACATTTCCCTTCTCTGCAGAAACCACTGATTTGCGAGATCACAGCTCACCTTCAGGCCGTTTTTCTCCAGTTCAACTGTTCTAGCAGATAAGAAAGGCTGCACTATCTGTACGTTGGATCTCACCCTGTGTGACAACTGCCAGGAAACATAGTATTATGAACATTACCAACTTAAAAGCCAAGTTTATTGAACAGACTTCCAATGCGAATTTCAAACTTAAATTTACAGGTAAGATTACACAGTGGCACTGACAAGAGATGAAAGAAGAACCTGCACATGCTCTTCCCATTCCTCACAAGCTACCAAGCCAACAGGAATTTCTTCCCCCTGTACACATTAACGGAAACAGACCTACATAAAGCTTTCTGATATTCTACCCCACTGAAATGGGAGAAGTCCAGCTAATTGCTCTAGTAACAAAACGTGATGCTCCAATAAGGATCAGATCTGAATTTCAGTATTAATAGTACTTCTTCCTTCAGCACCTCCAACCACTCAGGCTGCGGAGACAACAACAAAAAGACACAGTTTAAACCCTTTCCAGATATATACAGAAGTTACAGGAAAAACAAAGCTGAACGGCAACAGAATTAAACATTCAGACACAGAATGTGAGCACCGTAGCTAGATGATCTTTAAGGTCCCTTCCAACCTAAGCCATTCCGTAATTCTATGAATTTGCCCTCAATAACTGCAAAAAAATATTAAATGCAAAATTAAACCCTACCCAAAGAAGGTAGGGTCACTCTGTCCCTGCTAACAAATTCATTCCTGTAAAGCAATACAGTGTACAAGGAAATTGACAACAACAACAAGCAGCAACGCAACAGCAAGGACAGTAGTTTTCAACAAAATGGATTTCAACGCTATTGATGTTAGTCAGAGCTGTCAGGACAAGTGACCAGTTTTTGAACAGTATCCTTTGGGAACAGATACAGCTTTGTTTTATTCCATAACCAAATCGGATTAAATGAAACCGTATTACAGATGGCATACTGCATGACGTGCACCTTTCATATGACATATTAAAAATCCTGATGGTAATGAAGTAACAAAGCAGTCATGGGAAGAGGTTTGTTATTTTGCTATCCTCCCTCGTTGTCTTAAAAAAAAAAAAAGAAAACAAAACAAACAAAAACAAGAACAGCAAAAACGGCAACAAAGAAAAGCACACAAACCATAAGATGCCTCGGCTGCCTCAAGAGGATTAGCATCTCGCAACTGATCTTCTTATTTGCTTTTAATATTGTAAGACCAGAAAAAGCTCTCTGTTATCACTACAAGAGAGTGCAGGAGAGCAAGCAGAGTTTTAGCAGTGTAAATCTTTATTCTACTAGACTTTGCCCTTTCAAACCGCAAACTATCTACAGGTAAAAAGATAGGCAGAATAACAGCAGAGTAATTCTGATGTGGGCTTCGCTGTACGTAACATCAAAATCACTTTGAAAAATGCTATTTATACTTCATGGAGAAAAACATCATCATTCACCTCTCATTCTCAGGGAGTCGAGTCAGACATCATCCCTGCCCACCAATCGCTGGTGCGCAGTCGGAGACTTGCAGATCCAACGATCTAACCAGTTAAGGAATAACTTCTAATACTGAGTTCCCTTCTAGGACAAAGCAATCATAACCTGATTAGAGAAGAGTAAATGCACAAAACCAGGCTTGTGAGCAAGAGGGTAGCCTCAAGTCAGGCAAGCCTGCTGCAGTAACACTCTGACAGCCTTAACCACAACGCAGTCATTCTTCCAGTTGAGTTCACAACTGAAAGCAAACCTTACGCTGCCAAACAAGCGATGACATACACAGGAAACAGAGCAAAAAAGCAGTGAGATTTTGTATCTTATATTCAGAATTGGATTGTATTCTTTATTGCTAAGGAGCAGCTTATATTTGTAGAAATTCACATCCCCAGATGTCTCTATGGGTAGGATAACACCCATTGAGTTCACCACCTCATTTTTGTTTAAGTACAGTGCAATATAACAATGTCCCAATTACCTCACTTGACCATTTTGGGAAGACTGCAACATGGTCAACCCACATCTCAATCTTTTTCTTCCTCCTGAACTAGCAAACAAGTTCTAAACTTCAGAATGATAACCTGGCCCGTCAAAGATACATACGTATAATCTATATATTTCTACTTTTTAGCTATCCAGGGAATTTAATACTGTGGGGAAGCTTCTGGCCTCCTAGAAAAAGAAGAACTATTCAGGCAAACCCGCATTATCTCCGGATTGCCACAGCCTTTCCTTATTTGGCTAACGTTTTGAGATTCCAATCAGACTGCTATGAAGTTCAGCGTGCACAAAGCATCCATTTTGAGGAAACTTTCACAGCCTGTCTCCCCGCCGTTCCCCTGCCCCGAGTGAAGCTCCCCCTGGGCGGCAGCAGCCCCGGCCACACACCCACGCCCGAACAAAGCCACTCGGCTTCGTCGCACTGCTCTCCGACACGCGGAGGAAGGCTGTAAAAGCCCCGCTCCCCTTCAACTTCAGCTCGCGCACTGCGGCAGAAGCCATCGCTCGGGGGAGAAGCGGGATGTTATCGACACGCGTTTCTCTATTAGGCACAAATCGCGAGTTTCCCCTCAGAAACGGGCTGGCGGAGGACGGCCCGGCTCTCCCCGCGCACGGAGGAGGAGGCTTTCATCGGCCCGAGCGCAGCCGAACCTCCGGACGGACGGAGGAAGCCGGAAACCGCCGCGGGGAGCGGCGGCAGCGGGAACCGACCCCGCCGAGCGCCTCCCCTCACCTGCGGCCCTGCCCCGGGAGCTCCCGGGGGGCTCGGGCGGGGCCCGCACCCCGACCCAGGCGGGGGTAACTCCAGGAGGGCCCTGCAACGAGGAGGGGAACCGGCCCCTCACCCTCCCGAGCCGGCTCGGAGCCCGCACGGAGGCTCCAGAGCGGAGGCCCCGCCGCACGGCCACTCCCCCGCCGCCCCCGAGACCGACCCCGCTCCCCGCCACCTCCCGCCCCGCGGCCCCTCCCCGCCCCAACACCCCCCAGTGGAGGGGAGAGCCGCCGCCGACCCTTTCCCCCGCGGCCGCTTCCCGCAGGGACGCCCCGCAGGCCTCGCCCCCCGCCCTGCCCGCCCGGCCGCACCGACCTGGTGGAGCGCGGTGAGCCCGTCCACATTGGCGTAGTTGATGTCGGCGCCGCGCTCCAGCAGCCGCAGCACCTCCTCCGTGTCCCCGCTGGAGCAGGCAGCCAGGAAGACGGCGCCGTCGTCGAACTTCACCTTGGTCTTTTTGCGCTTGACCACGGGCGGCTCCAGGTCGGTCTCAGAGCCGATCCAGCGCTTCAGCTGCTCGTTCCGCTTCTGCTTGGCGTCCGCCATCTTCATGCCCCGCTCCCGCCTGACCCCCTCGCTATCGCCGCGCCGAGGATAGACTATATACCGCCGTATCCCACAGCGCACCGCGGCCCGCGCTCGCCCTCGCTCACGCACCCACCCAGATGGACGCGCAGGGCGGGAGGGAGCCGAGGGGCGGGGCGGCGGCGGCGGCTCCTTAGCATAATCCCGCGAGACTTCCGGGCGGGGAGGGGCGGAGCCCCAGGGAGGAGGGCGCGGGCGCGGGGTGGGCGAGGTGTGGCCGTAGGCTCGTGACGTCACGGGCGGACGGGGGCGGTGGCGGGGCCGGGCCGGGGCCGGGCTGAGGCGGTGCCGAGGCGGTGCCGAGGCGCGGTTGGCCTTTGCGCGGGCCGCGGGTTCAAGAGTTCAGCCGGAGGGGTCAGCGGTTCTGTTAGGGCGGCCGGTGCGGGCCTCGGGAAGCAAAGCGAGGCTGCAGGCGTACCGCTTCCCTGCTCGCATCTTCCTTCGCTTGCGCCTCTGTTAGCAGAGCGACTGCAGCCGCTCTGAGAAGAAGACGCGCGGGGCTGCTGAGTATGCCCCGCTTGGGAAAATTAAGCGTGCCCGCGTTTGGGCAGCCTGGCGTCAGAGCAGCGTGCCCTGAGGTGTCTGCAGAACCCGGTGCTGCTGTGCTGGTTTCTGTTGTGTTTAATTTTTATTGCCTGTAAAGCTGGAGCAGTGCACCGTGTTTCAGTTGGGAGAGAAGGAATTATAGCGCACGCAGCCTTTGAAGACACAAACATTGTGCTCAGAATTGCTCCTTCTAGGAACCAAGCTGTTACGGGCAGTTAATTTCTTTCCCTGTGCATAGTGTGTTTTCTTTAGCTATAAACAACATATATTTTCTTCTATATTGAATACTCTGTGGGGGTAAAACATGGCTTTAAGCTTACTGGAAAAGAAGTTCTCATTTCAACTAATTATAGGAAACAAAGTATAGTTTGAGAGGGTCACCAAACCTCACACTCATCAAATTTTGTGTGGTTTGTTCTTTCCTATAATCTCTCCTTTTGCTGCAGTCTGTCAGCCTGCTCAGGCTTCTTATTTCAATCATTAAAAATGTTGGTGGCATTTCCCAAGAAGCGGCGGTCAGAAGGTTGCAGCAGTGTGTTCTCACTAACACCCTTCAGAGCAGGTTTTCACCTGGAACTATTTGCATAGCACCCATCAGATGTACTCACACAGCAGTGCATGACACACAGCCCACTGAAAATGTGCAGATGTCAATTGCCAGTATTTGAAAGATGGCATCTAGTAGGAAAGATGAAAGATTTGCCAAAGAGAGGTTTGCTATCCAAATATGTCAACAAAAAGCCGGGATCTAATTAATACATTCCTATTGATGACCTATGTGTCTACTCAGTGATATAGCTTAGGTTCATGGATCTGAAGTATGGCTGATTGTGCTCAATCCACTTCAGAAGTGGTCATCGTAGCATTTATTACTCACACGGTTAATTGAACTGTGCCCAATACACACATTTACCAGCCTACAGCTTGGCTGCATCTACTGACTCACATCTAAGGTGAGGATCTGTGCAGGATCCAGCTGTATACTTCAGTCTTGTCCTCTTCAGTACATTTCCTTGGGGATGGACTCTCAATCCAATGACATTTGCAAATTTTGCTGCTTTCCCAGAGCAAGGTAACTCAGGAAAGAACATCCTCTGTCCCCAGATGTCTCCAGTATTTTAAATATACCCTCCCAAATAGTCTACTTCTTTCTTTCCCTCTCAATTGGTTGTCTGAAAATTTAACTCTTCAAAGAACCAGCATACCTACAGAATGCAATACAGTGATTTCAGCAAGATTGAAATCAAGTGCTGTACTGGCAGTAAAGTAATTCTAGGCAAGTTGATAGGTACTTGTTTGAAATGCCCTCTGAGGAATTTCATTGGTATGGAACACTTATTTTAGGTTTGCATAAAGTCTCCAGTCACCTCTCCTTGACTTCATTCCTCTAGCTCAGCTTTTTTTATTTGATCATTGAACCTCCTTCATTCCTCAAACAATAACAAGTTGGTTACACAGGAAAGGATCCAGGTGAGTTTTGAATATCTCCAGAGAAGGAGACTCCACAACCTGTCTGGGCAGCTTGTTCCATTGCTCTGTTACCCTCGCAGTCAAGAAGTTTTCCTCATTTTGTATGGAACTCCCTGTGTTCCAGTTTGGAAGCCTTTGTGCTCTCATCTTGCAACCCTGCAAAGAGCCTGGCCCCATCCACATGACTCCCAACAATTAGGTATTTATTTTATTTTTCTTACAAGCATTGCAGTCATTTTTGCAAGCTAATTCATGCAAGTTTCTGTACCACAGAAGTATATCAATGAAGTTTACTCAAAATAGACATGTTCTGGAACATAGGATTTCTGTTTCGATCTCTTAAGGATAATTGTTGTCTTCCATCTTGTCATCAGCAACAGAAATCCGACACGTTGTTGCTTCTAAAAATTTTGTCCTAATGTTTTTTACTTTCCGGTGAAGAAAACCAATATATCAAGGTTAGTTTCATCAATTCCAGCTCTGGGAAAAATGGATATTTTGAAGAGGTAGTGACAAATACTTATATATTGACAAAAAAAAGGTTCTGGAACAGCTGCCCAGGTTGTGGATGTCCCGTCCCTGGAGGTGTTCAAGGCTGGATTGGATGGGGCCCTGGGCAGCCTGGTCTAGTATTAAACAGGGAGGTTGGCCGCCCTGCCTATGGCAGGGGGATTGGAGATTCATGATCCTTAAGGTCCCTTCCACCCCTGTGATTCTGTGATTCTGTGATAAAACTCTCTATTCTCTGTGGTTTCTATAAAGAATCATAGAGTTTAAAAGGAGAAATGGGATACAAAAATATAAAAACCTTTTTCAACATGAAGCATAATGGAGATACTTATCATAAGAAAAAGGCATTTCTTTCATATTCATTTCTATTTTTTAATATGTTGCATTCTCTTCTCTAATTGTGTGGCAAACCCACACAAGAAACAGTGAAATCTTCAGCACATTCCTTATCCAGAAAAAAAGAGATGGAAAGACCATGCACAAGGTACTATCAAAATTTTAATTTAATTATGTAAGAAGAAAAATTCTTACTCTGTATTTTTTTCAGTTCAGAGCAATGTTCTTACACAGAAATGTCAAGGTGGGTTACTTTTAATACTGCATAATCCTGAGTCACCAAAACCAAAACTAAAACTACCATAGCAACCCAGGCATATATTTATAGGCTATGCAGTTCTGAATCAGATTTGCAATAGTGTCTTCTCCCATCGTCTTTTATGAGCTTTACAGATTGCCATGTTAATGTTCTTGGATGTGAGCTAACATTTAAGCTTGATTCATGTACAGATTCTCTGACATTTCTACTTGTACCAACTGCTAAATTGGCATTCATTCTACTGATAATTTAAATAATGCATGGGTTACTCTAGAAATAGTTGATTTGGTTACTGAAAAGTAATACCATGTCCTTTGCAAATGGGAGATATGCTTATTTATAAAACTGACTTTATAAAACCATTCTTAGTTTCAATGAAATTTAAGTTTTGCGTAGCCACTTTATGAAAAAAAGAAAAAAAAAAAAAACAAAAAAAAAAAACAAGAAAATGAGATTGAACTGTATTTTATAGAATAGAAATACAGGTACTCTGTTTGCTCTCTGGGGTCCTTGGGAATTCTCCCCACGTGTAATTGTAGATCTCTTGTTAGACACTCTGCCATGACAGTCACCCATGTTGTCCTTGTGCTGTTGAGAACAAGTATCTTAGCTTTATTCTAATGTCCAAATTGCCACATATTTTTATGGTTATTTTTATCAATCTCTGTTCAGCATTTCTTCCGGTGAAGTGTTTCCTTTCTTTCCTTTCCACTCTCCTCTGTGGTGTGATTCAAGGAGCGAGCTGTTGAAATGCACAAATGCTTGGGGGAAGGGAATGACCCATCACTCTGAAATGCATGCAAGATGTTCTCTGTGAGCTGCATTCTGAACATATCACAGCTGAGAAATGTGCTTGCAGGGCTGCAGGAGGACGATTTGAACAAAGAGAAATTAAAGACATGCTGATCTAGCTTCTCAAAATGCAAACATACATATACTGAAGAGTTATTGGCTGCCAGATAGATTTCTGCTACTGGAGGTACTAGAGGATTTTCCTGTTTTGATTCTCTTTTGGTATCTGAAAGAGTCTTTCTCCAATTAAAACTTTAAAAATACTAAAATCTAAAATTGTTAGGCCAAACAATTGGCTTGACTTGGATTTTGGACATCTGTAAGTATGCCTTGCTGCTCATAGTGCCTACAGACATCACTTTTATGAGCCAGCAGATCATATGACATAACTGCCTGCTCACATCAGGGCTGGTCTTAGCAATATAGTGACATAAGTGACACACCTGTATGAGTGACAGAAATAACGGTGTTGTCCTTTGGCCTACTCAGGCAATCATATGGAGAACCAAGTTGTTTTCTTTGGAAGACAACTGGCTGATTGCACAGTGATGCTTATTTATAAGAATATTCCTGAAGACCTTTTCCCTGAGTGCCACACAAACAAGTAACCAAAAGCAGTTTTCTTGCTCAGAAATCATTTTTGTAGTCTAGTTCAGCATCCTTATAAAGACTCCTGCCATTGCTTTGTTTGCCCTATGTTTTTTATGGCCTGTGTGTTTGCTACACAGTTATTTCTTCTGTAGGTAACTCCTCAGGCTAGGGATTATGCTGGTAAGACTTCATTCTATGTCATCAAGTGACTCCTCTGGTGGCTTCCTATTGTTCCGTAGCACAAGTCCGCAAAGAAATTGAATTGCATCATCCTGTCGGTTTTAAAGAAGGATGGCTTAACTGAATAAAATAGTCTGACGTAATGTTAAGCTGTGGCAACCTCTTACATAACGTTAAGGTTCTCCAGAAGCTGTAATTTCAATATCATGAATGTAGAGATGTGCACTTCAGAATCTTTTCAGACATCTTCTCGTTTGTCAGGTTTATGACTTTCAACCCTCATCTGACAAAATCACTTTTCTTAGCCATTCCTAAATTGGATTGCTGGCCTGCAACTCCTGCAATCAGACATCACTATAACTTGAAAAGCCCAACTGAGAAGAGACCCAGAAA